TTACCACACCAGTCAACATGTGCCGTCTATATATCCACATTGAACAAAGAAACAGTCCTCTTTATTTGAAAGCCCAGCAATCTATAGGTAGGATTCTCAACATTCCTCCCAAAAAGAAAGCAACCTGGTCTGGTCCTGTGGTTGAATCAAGACATTAGGCGTGTAATCAACCCAGGTGCCGTCTCTCCTCCAGCATCTGACAGAGCCTACAAACAGTATACTTACAATGATTGCAACAGAAGGATGGGGGATAGACAAAAGAAGATAGTCTTGAGCAAGTAACTATAATATCCAGATACAGCGTCTCATCGACATCTTCCTTGATCACATGCGTCACATCTCTTCTAGTCTGCTGAGTCGCGTGGTAGTAGCGACGGTCAACTATTGTACTGAACGACCTTCTCAGATAGTAAGGTTTTTTTTTTCTTTCCCCTAGCTTAGATCTAGTTAATAGATAGCTACTAAATAAAGACTCAGCCCCATTTGATAGAGCTTCCAAGGGGATAATTGTCCTATCAACAATGAATCAGAAATGCTCAACATTATTCCTGGTAGGAATTGATTGATCATCAAGATGGGCGCAATGGGAGAGGAATTTGTTTAAGGCTTTCGTCCATATACATAGTGAACGGTAGTATATAGGTGTATCGAATGATCCTTAAGCTCACTTTGTGCCTTTGACAATATTACCTGGATCTCCATATTATTCCAGCCAAGGACACGTGAGAGTAGCGCCGGTGTGTAGAACTCAAGAGCCTGGATCTGCTGATATTGCTGATATCTTCCAATCTCCTTTAATTTCGGGTCCTTCGGCCACGGACCAATTGGGACCTATTATATAGTTAGAATAGAATGGGCTCACGGCAAAGGGAGTAGCTGTACCTTAAAAACAGATTCTTTCACATCAACAAACCCTGCCTTTTCCACCTTTTCTTTCCATAGGTGCACGTTGTCGAGAGTCTTGCCAAATTTATTGGCAGCTGTATGCAAGTTTTTTAATAGTAACTGACAATTCTCAGCCTTCTTAATAGTATCATCGTCTGAAAAAAAGTATCCAGAGCCACCACCAATTTCAAAGTATCCCCCAGGCTTAAGATTTTCAAATGCCTGGAAGAAAAATTCGGTCTTCATCAGCGATACACTCCTCCAACTCACGAGCATGGATAAAGTCAAACTTGGTTTTATACAAGCAATCGTTTTCGAAGTCATCAATTTCAAATGTGCAATTTGGAGGGACCCTAATCTGCGTCAGCTTTAGAGAGGTAGGACAAGTATGAAAAAAAAAGAAAATTTGTATAAGTAAGATGAAAATATATGGAATTATGGATGGAGTTACCAGGGAGGCTGTATAGGGCTTAAGTCAGTGCCGATCACTTGAGCAGAAGGGTATTCACTGGATCAACATCAGCAACAAGCTTATAAGAGCTAGAAAAGATTCTTACTCAGCAAACTGAATTGCCCAGATGCCTGTACCAGTGCCAAGCTCTAAGACACGCTGAGGATTTTTGGCGATTGGCGCAAGATGAAGTTCTCCCCCTAGGAGAAGGAGATATATGTGATGCAGCAGGTCCATCCGGTCTTGTTCCTCTTTATCATTTGGCTAACAAACTGATTCAGTCCACGGTCTTGACAAAATGATTTAACTAGATATATACCAGAACATATGCTCCTTCATGATATGCATGGTAACGACGCCCATTCTAAAGAGAACGGTCAGTCTCGTAGCGAGCGTTATGTGCTTAGAGGACTCACCTCGTATCTATGAACCAAAGTCACACCTGGTCAGCAAGCATATGACAGAGTGCCAAAACTGGCCAGGACAGATAGATCGGGCATTACTTGTAGTTTTTGACACTTGAACTGAGGGATGATGCATAGCTAGCTGTACCAATACTAGAGTAGATTATCAGAAAAAGGCTGTCAGGTTACCACATGTGCATTTGAATATACTCACGATTCATTGTAAGCAGAATCCGCATCCAGAGTAGCACCCTCCTAACCCAAATTGTATCAGTAGCATACTCTTCCCTCCTTGTGCAGGAGAGGCTCACATCTACTTCCAGAATATCCCCACGTGAGGGACTCCGGGCGGAGGGACTCTGAGCCATGGCCTTGGTGTTGACCTCTGGTGGCCAAAAGGGACACGGGTTTGCTCGACCAAACAAGATGGAGTTTGATGTAGTAGTTAGTATAGGTGAAGAGAGATACCAGGATAATCCTATTATAAGAACTGGTTTGGCTGCTGGCTGCAGGGTATCTTATTGCGACACTACCACTGCCTCTTTGAGCAGGCTGCAGGAGTTAGCATGCCTTCCATCGATCAGCCTTTGGTCTCGAGAGCTTGTCACTTGTCAATCGCTTCAGACGGAAACACGGAAGTGCTTCCGAATCACGCTACTCAGTTGTGGACTCGGGCCAGGGTTAATTCAACTAGGCAAGTTGAAACTGCCCATCTCACTAACCGGATTTTCCTCTGCCTGGATATAAATGTCTCTTTCGCACATCCTTGTCATACACTGAGAAATCTTCATATCTAGTTGAGATGATAGGTTGGTGAAGCCTACAGCGAATCATCTGACACAACTTCTTTAATTACAGCTAATCAATTTTCTTTTTCTTATTCCTTCTTTTTTTTTCTCTTTTAGATAACTGCGCTTGCAAGGCAACCTTCACGCCATGGACAAGTATCGTGTTGACATGGCTTCCACTCCACCGACTGGAACACATCTGGAGGTAGATGTATGTAAGCCTGCTGGTGTCTTCAATTGAATGACTTTATGTCTAACCATATTTCTGCTCAGGAAAATTCCCTTTCTGATTCTGATTCGGCATTTGATGGCTCGTGAGTACATTCACCACTCATGGTATCAAGTAGTACCTATATCTGATGATAGGCAGCGATGTCACCAGTTCCACAACGTCGCTCAGTTCTAGTGTCACAAATTACCAGTAAGAGCTCCTGCTTAGAGTTTCCCGGACTCAATTAACGTATATGCATGACTAGATTTGAGGTGAGGATGTTGCGCTCGACAGCTTTGGCTCGGAATATATTAAGGTCACTTCTAGAACGGACGCCGCTATCATGCATACCACCAAGGAAAATATCTGCTGGTATGTGTTCCGCCGGAGAGTAAAGCCTTTACTAAATTGATGCCAGCCGAACGACGAGAAGGAGCAGGATCGAATGGACCTTGGACACCAGATTTACCTCCTTTTGCTGGACGGAAAACTTTTCCTTAGTCCCATAAGTGCACGTCCTCAGCGAGTTCTCGATCTTGGCACAGGCACAGGGATCTGGGCCATTGATTTTGCAGAGTAAGGGCTATCTTTCTATACGTCATCCAGTCTTTTGCTAAAGAGCAGTTCCAGAAGACATCCTTCTGCACAAGTCCTTGGTATATAAATGTATACTCCTATGATCTTGTTGTGGCCATCTAACATGACAGGACAATAGGCATGGATCTGAGCCCTATACAACCTTCATGGTAAGTATTCTGCTTATACGTTTATCTAGCCGCTGACTTACAGTAGGGTTCCTCCTAATTGCTCATTCGAAATCGACGACTTTGAAAATGAATGGGCTTACGCTCGACGCTTTGATTTTATTCACGGCCGTGAGCTGATGGGGTCTGTTGCTGACTATGACCACTTATTTAGAGAGGCATTCCGCCATCTAGATCCAGAAGGTTATTTTGAGATGCAAACGGCCGATCCACGGTTTTTCTCAGATGACGGGACTCTTGAAAAGGCAGAGAATGCTAATCTATGGGTACGCTTGCTACATGAAGCAAGTGAAAAACTCGGGAGACGGATGGATCAAGTAGGGACATGGGAACGGACAATGAAAGAGGCAGGTTTTATCGATATCAAAACTAAGATCTACAAGGTTTGTCTTCTGCTGGCTGCATTTAGAGATAATGCTGACTTCATCTACTGTACAGCTGCCTGTAGGCACATGGCCCGAGGATCCGAAGCTAAAGAAAATTGGACAGTTTCAGCTGGCGCAGCTTGACGAAGCTATAGATTCCTACACCCCAGCACTTTTGAGCCGTGCCTTTGGCTGGAATGGTCTTGAAATGGAGGTCCTCCGTGCAAAGGTCAAGACAGAGGTGAAGGATTCTTCTATTCACCTCTATCAAAATGTTCATATTGTGTACGGAAAGAAGCCTTCTGTTTTGTCGTCTCAGTGATCCATTGTGGATCTAGAGAGGCTATCCTGCGTGCTGACAGAATAAGCTCTCTTCTGGAAAAACAGGGGTAATATGTGATATGTTCGTTCATTTCCAGGTGTTTCCAGAAATCTTAGAGCAGCAAAAGAAACGAAAGAGCTCTGAATATCTCTGAATTGTCTACTTATACTATTCCAGTTGGTAAAGACATCGAGTGATCTGATGGTATTTAATGGAAGAACATTCTCCTACTCTTGTCTCATTCACCGTGGCGTATCGCACCGTTGAGGCTTTTGATTTTATATGTTCAGATTTACTTCTCACTGATTCAATGATAATTCTATTCAGAAATTCTCTTCAAGCTGGATTTCCTGTTAGGTCCAGGAACTGGCATTGGCGTTGATGTGGTAAAGTAGTACCTTATCAAAGTAAATTGATACAGTTGTTTTTCTTCCGGCAGTCCCAGACGGACGCCAGATAGATAATCAGCCGTGGTTAGCCCAACAGGATGATACCCATCTTTTTCGCCTCATTACATACAGTAAATTCAGTTAAAGAGTGAATATGCTATGAAACCGAGAAGAGAATCTGGGAAAGAGTAGAAAAGGAGGATGTAAAGAGTTCCGGCTGGGGTTGATCAGCCGTGCTACAGAGTAGTTTGTTATTGTGCTCGAACTTCCGTCGGCTGCTTCTACAAAGTCGTCCCCTGCAGAGATTATCAGGACCGTTGTTGCTGAACGCAATAAAAGCATCCAAGGCAACTCGTCGACAGGCTAGCAATGCTTTGACGGTAGCCACTAAGAGTCCCGTCTTCTTTAGTACCTCGGAGCTCGGCTATCTGTCTTACATCAGGGGTATCGGACCAGCGTTTTCTGTCTCTTCCATCGTGAGCTCCAATTTAATCAGCAATGATCGCGGATGCGAACTTAACTGTATGATCAGACTAAGGACTGATCCTTGTGGGGCTAGGAGCCGCCGGGTTCAATAATTATGTCTACCGAGTTACCTAACTCCTCATTGTTATAGCCCACGAGTTATCATCTCGTGCCGATTACGTCCCTGCCTTTTGTAAACACCGCACGTTACTATTCTTATCAAACGAATCGCTTAATGAGACCGTTAGCCTGGCGCTGGAGGGTTGGTAACAATCCCTTACTGTGTAGATCTGGAAAGTTTGTCCAACTTAATCACTTAGAAATTACTTTGAGAAAGATTAATCTGCGATTAGGTTTCTGTAAGTTAAACTACGGATGTTCCTGTTTCTAGAAGTGTGACAAACCGAGACCCGCCATAAAATATGTAACACTTTCAGAATACCTATGGTTGAGCATGAGATCATAGCTGAACTTAGTAGTATTAGGCTCCAGAGTCCTGATGAGGTGAGAAAGTGCCGAGGAGTCGCGGAGATTAGGGGCTGGCAGTTAAGAGACTAATTTCCACCCAAATCGATCGGAGTTGAGCATAGTAGGTTTCAAACAGAAACAGAACGACCAATCACATTATCATACTTTTGGGATCAGCCACAAACGTGCCAGGATATCTACTCTGTATACTTACATGTGCTTTCAGGAATTAGAAGACCACACAGAATCTATCATTTGCCTCGGCTCATAAGTACCACCTGCTACACACGACGTTTCATATTCCCAAGGCGCTCGGGAAAAGGGATTCAAGCCATTTCCTACCTGTCAGCAAGATGCGTGCTCCTTTATAGACATGGCGCGATTTCTCAATTTGAAACTTAGCACAGAAACAATCTTGAATTCTAATGTAAATACAGGACTCTTGATTGGATATCTATGCACACAGTATCAACCAGCTCGTGTCAGTTACTTACGTTCTCTAGTCTCTTCATACCTGAGAGCAACAGGTATCTAGCCTGTTCTAATATATTTTTTACCTTTTCTTCATATATGGACCAAGAGATGCAACCGGATTATCCTGGAATGGTCAAAATTAATGGAATAGGCGCTAACAGAGTCTAGAGCTGAGCTCTTTAACTTTGCTAGGGCTGAAACAGGAGTGCATTAATAGCTTCAGAAGTGGACCCTGCATGAGACAAGAATATCTTAACCTGAAGTCTAACAACTAGTTGGAGTCTTCTAGGACCCGAATATCGTCAACAGTGGGCTTCGAAGCATCCCCCTCTGCCTTAGAAGTTCTATAAGTACCGGCTGCACTTCCATTTGTATCTTGTTTTTGTTTCCGTGCAGTCCAGGCGACTCACGTTATCTATCCTATTCTTTCTTTATCCTTTTATCCAAGGACCAGTTATTCCTCATTCACTTATAAGACCAGAACTTCTACATTCCTTCTTTCTTTTATCAATTGTGCAACTGTTTCCACAATGAAGATAACTACCACAGCCCTGATCATTAGTCTGTGCGGCTCAGCTGTTGGAGTCCCAGTCAGAAATGCTGAATTAGATGCCGAAAAGCGTTCCCCCCAGGCCTTTAGGAACGGTGGCTCAAGCGCAGATCTCCCATTGCCCACCAATCTTGGTTCTTTGGGCCTGGGAGGCTCTGGCATAATTCCATCTGGCCTGCCGTTTCCATCTGGCCTGCCGTTTCCATCTGGTCTGCCGCTTCCATCTGGTCTGCCGTTTCCATCTGGCCTCCCAATTCCGAGTGGATTCGGTAATCTAGGCGGCCTGGGGAATCTAGGTGATCTGGGATCTTTGCTTGGTGGGCTAGGTGGCAGTTCGTCCAGCGACCTTGATAGTTTGCTCAGTGGACTTAAAGCGCGAGATGTTTCTGTTACTCGTCGTGAAAGCCCCCAGGGAGGGACTCGTGTGACTAGACGTGCTGGTTCGATTACTGAAAACGGAGTCACAGATAAGGACGCTTGTCAGCCATTAACGCTCATTTTCGCACGAGGAACTTCAGAGTTGGGAAATATGGGGTCCGTTGTAGGCCCTCCTTTGGCCAGCGCCCTTCGTTCTCTCACAAACAATAGTGTTACTGTTCAAGGTGTTGACTATCCAGCGTCCATTGAGGTAAGAATCCTTTGCTTTTTATGAATTGGCTTTCAGATTTCTATAATTATTGCCTGTCCAGACGTCAGATTTTTACTCATATACTAATATCCTACAGGGCAATGCTTTGCTCGGCGCATCAGGTGGCCCTACGATGGCAAGTCTTGTAAAACAAGCATTGTCTCAATGCCCAAATACTAAGGTCGTCCTTGGCGGCTACTCTCAAGGGGCGATGGTGGTCCATAATGCTGCAAGCAGTCTCTCTGCGGACCAGGTTAAGGCTGCCGTCCTCTTTGGTGACCCTTTTAAAGCAGAGGCTGTTGGCTCCATTCCCTCAGCCAATGTCAAAGAATTCTGCGCAGAAGGGGACCCTGTCTGTTTAAATGGTGCCAACGTCCTCGCTCACTTGTCTTATGGAGACGATGCCCAGACTGCAGCACAATTCCTGGTCCAGGCAACTGGCGTGTAGACGACTTAAACGATGGTCAAAGAATAGCGGCTATATTGAGATATGGATCTCTCTCAATTTCTTAATAGCCGCTCCTTGATTGGCCGTCAGTGAGAACAACACGCCAGGAATGTTAGATATATTCAACACCCTGAGGGTGCACGTGAAGCTTTTCCTTTTATTCTGAACAAATTTTCTCTCTCTCTCTCTCTCTCTCTTCTTTCTTTTCTTTTCTTTT